CGATGTTTGCTATCGGGATTGGGTTTTCGTCGCTTGGCAACGACGTTGTAAAACAAGCCAATTTACTTCGTGAACTCGGCAACCAGGTTACCGTTAGTTTTTTACCTCTGTTATTTTTTGGCGGTAACCATGAATGGTGGTCGAGTAGATCATGTTGTGCGGGGTCGAGAACCCTCACTCCGCGCGAGGGGGATGATCGCACCACGTTGTCTTCAATTAGTCAAGCATCCTCGAGGCAGTTACACAGTACTTATGACTGTCTCTGGAGATGAAAGCACCAGAAAATAAATTACCTCATACGCAGCTGTCATCCGTACGCAAGGAATAAAGCACAAGATGCCGAACACCCGTAGTAGGATGCAGCACACCCTTCATGCGACTCGCCGAATACCTCACGGCGCTTCGCGCTTGGTGATGTGAGAGCCTGGTCCGGTGAGAACCCGGCGTGCTCCGTCCAGGCTTTGTAGGGATGCGAGGTCAATGGCCAAACGACTACGGCATGCACGACTATGAGTACCCCCCGCCCCCCCCCCTACACCATCTGTGCACGAACGGGTAATCTCACCGGACGTCCGTTGTCAGCTAGGACCAAGTCCCCATTCGGCATCACTCTCAGTTCCGTTGAGCCGTTGGTAAGCGCATCTTCCAACCCGATAGACCGCCTCTGTTCCAGGGTAGCAGCCATCTTAGCGCGCTTTTTCTGTTCGTGAGTGGCAAGAAGTGGGCACAAGGTTACCGCCGGCCTGTGAAGCTGTGCCGAGTGAACGTGGCCCTTCCGTGGGGATAAGCGACATCCATGGTCCACTCGCTTCCTCCTACCGATGCATTCTCGACAGGGACGCTCTGGCGACACTCACAAAGGCCTCCCTATACCCTGGGGTTTGAAAACAAGCTCTACGTACATAACTACGCAAGCGGACATAGACGCTTGCTGTCCATGTGATTCGTTCGCAGCTCGTCCTACCGAATATTAGTAAACGTACCCTTTGCTCCGCCTCCAGTTTCGCCTTCGCCGCTGCCGCGTCCCGTGATTTTCGCTCATATCTCGCCTTCTGCTCGCGCAGTCTCGCTGCTTGTTCATCCTTCGCCTTCTTCTCATCTCTGGCCTTCTGTTCTTCGCGCGCTCTCCGTTCCCGCTGCTGCTTCTCCAAAGCACGCGCCTCTGCGAGCCTCTTTTCCTCGGCATCCGCGAGAGCCTTTCGTTCCTGGTCTTTCCATATCTCCGCTTCGCGCTGCTCCTGCCGTGCCTCCTCTGCCGCCACCGCTTCCTGCAGCGCTTTCTCTTCCAGCTCCATTCTATTAGCGGCTTCTTCCCTCTCCTCCCGCACACGTCTCTCCACCTCAGCCGCCTTCTTCATTGCCTCGATATCGCGAGTATTTGACATAGCGCCTTCATCGACGGCTGTGGAAATCCTTGCCAAACTGATCGAAAGGAGCAGCCACGTGGTGAGGTAGCTTGCCGAGAGCGTGAGCAGCACTAGGAGGACCGGTCGGGCGTATCGCATCCGTGATTTCGACTTGTGGCCGGAGTTGGTCAATGGAGTTCAAAGCGGTACGCGGGGAGAAGAGGAGGGCGTCGGGAGATGAAGTCGTCCTTATAACGGCGCATGCCAAGACCGAGGTACAAGGATATTGATTCCAAGGGCCCAGATGGGTGAAGGATCGAATCGGCTTGGCGTGGTGGTATTCCTCCCTGAACTACCTTTGTACTGTCTCTATTTAAGCATAATTGTGCTTGTGCTCCCTCTGCAGGCACTTGTCGAGAGCCCGAGTTCGACGCAGCTGCTTCAAGAAGTGAGACGTTTCTTGCGCAACCTCCGCGTGCGACAATAGTCGCCGCGAGCCGTCGGCGAAGACCGACCTAAGATGAAACTCCCGCAAGGCACACTAGCAACGATAAAAACAGCGAACACACACAAGTCGGCAATCACAAAAAAAATTCAAACGCCAAGCTTGCCGGTGTATGGGATACTACATTCGACATGCCATGTTTCTCACAGCAGACCGGAGAATTCACACGAATGTGGGATTCCCGTATATGTACAAAAACATGGCAACCCTTCAGAGTGCTTCATCTTCACGGAACGTATGCGGACCTCACCGAACGGCACAGAACAAAGGGAGTAGCGGCGGCACCTTGGCCTCCTTATTCGCATGTGGTGCCCGGACTCACCGGGAGTGGGACTCGCACATCCCCGTCAACGGCAGACCGCTTCTCAGGAAACGTTTCCAAGGGCTCCTCGCCAAAAAAGCCACCGCCGCCAGATTGACCTGACTGTAAGCGTGCTGCTCTGCAGGTTAGCACAAACAATTCGCGCGTTGCGGTGGACGGAAGAAGAGTCATCGCGTGTGCTGCTGTGTACAGCAGGGAGCTGGGCATGATGTACGCACAACGACATTGAGAGGCCGCACGTACGCATTCAGCCTGAAGTGACCGATCCTCTCTACGTTCCCAAAAATCCTGAATCACTGAACGACTTGATCCATCAAATTTCAGCCGTTCACGCGCAGACCTCGCGACCTATCGAACAACAAGCGGTATAACCCGCATGCCACCACCACACACATAAACTAGCCACCCCCAAGGCCACCAGGTTCAGTGACCAAACCAACCGACTCGTTCACCTTCTTCGTCTGCCGCCGATGGACACAAGTGAAGAAGGCGCACTGCTCCTGCCTGCCTCGCTCAAGCCCTCTAGCCCACCGTCGCTCTCCCACCATCCGCTACTGTCTCCGCTCCAGCGCGACGACGCCTTGCCGCCGTTAGTATTGAACCTCTGCCCGTTGATAGTGGGGGACGGAGTAGCGCCGCCGAAAAAAACGGTGCTGCCGCTGCTGCCAAGGTGCCGACTACGACGGCGCTGCCGACGGTGTCGTGCGCTGCTTTCACTCCGTTTCCGGCCCGCCGGGGGGTATAGACGCGGCCACCAGAAGGTGACTACCAGGGCCTCGACGGAGAGAATGAGGTACCCCGCCGCACTCAGCGGGTGGAGGTCACTGTGCGAGGCAGGAGGAAGAGCAACGAAGCGATGAATAATGTTTTCACTGATGTGTTCTCGGCGTCATGCCCACGATGCACTTCTAACGTGTAGGGTGGAGGGAAATCATGGGTGGAGGTCCACGGAGGGTGTTGGCAACCTGGTATTAAGTGCCTTCTACTCAGGTAGTTCCCATGGCGGCACATCGATGAGCTGAGGATCTTGGACGAAGACAACAGCGTCGACGTAGGCGACGAGAACATTATGGCATGGAAGCATTACGGCATGGACACATAACGGCATGGACATCCATCCAGGACGGTTTCGCTGTCAAAAGAGTCTACGTCCGCTTCTCTTGACAGCTCGCTCTGCTTAGGGTTAGGCTGAACATGGGTTAGTTTAGTAGGTCTATCATTTAGCAGTCTCAGCAGCGTACCCGCCACCTGCACAACTACCATGTGTGGCCTTGACACGCCCGATCAACGTACTTGCAGAATGAGCGACCGTTAGAAACGTACACAGCAGTGGAGGCCCAGCTACGGTGGCTGTAGGCTCGTTGGTTTTATGTGAGTGGAACACGGCGGGGCAGGTGGATAGTGCTACGATCAACCCGTAGCTATAACGTCAATATCGGAGACGATTCAACGCTGTAACAACGCCCAGGTTGACCTTGCGAGAGCATCAGAGGGTTGGAAAATATGTGTAAATAATGCATTTTCGTTTTCTCTGGGTACTATGCGTCGATTACTGTGATCCAGAGGACTGATCGCGGAATAATGGTTTTGAGACTGGTGCGGGAAACGCTGTAACCTTCAATGTTTCAATATGACAAGTAGTGCCGCACACATTTGTGTTGCGAAACATGAACATTACATTGCAAGGCGGCGAAACAAACCATGGACACAAACTACTGTTGTTTTGCGGGGTGTGCCTGTACGATCGGACGTGCATCACGGGACTTCGGAAACAAAGCGATGTCGTTTTCCTGACACGATGTTGTGAGTTTAATTCCACCCTTGGGACTTAATTCGCATCCGAGCGGCCGCCGTGCTACGCGTGCACATGCTAACCTTACAGCAAGTCTAGCCAGGCAAGTTCAAACTACAGTACAGTAGTTCTGGGACACATCTGGACGGTTTTGCCCGCAAGCGGATGATCCTCAGGAAGAGTAAAAATGCAAAGCAGCAACACCTTCTGATGGGTAGATCTGTCACGGCAGTAGTGTTTACGTTTCGCCTCGGTAGTATCCCGACAACAATGGAGACACGTACAGGCCTCTGCTGCGTGTAAGAGCTGGCGTGTACACAAACATAAACCGCCGCGTCTGTTCGCACTCGATCTTTCCACCGGCCCAGTCCAGCAGAGGGAGGAAGAACGGTCTCCTCCTGTTCACTTCAAGTAGGTACTTGTGCAGTCCCGAGCGAGGTAGATCGCATCCAATGTGGTCGTCACCAACCCAGGCAACGCACCTCGTCACACTAGCCCAGGCAATACATCCTGCCGTTGCCATTTTGTCGCGCCCCTGGTTCCACTTCCCTCATCGCATTGTAGATTGGACGATGGTATGTCGCGAAAACGCACAAAAGGGTGAGTTGGCGTAAAGACGGGGGGCCGGCACACCGCTCAGAATAACCTAATGAGAGTATAAGCGTGTAGTTTGGTATAAGGAGGGAGTACCATCCTAACCGTGAGGCCCCCGGCTGAAGTCCGCAAGTCCGCAAGGTTGGGTTCCGGTTGTTAGCCAACCAGCACCGTTGCAGGCCGCCACCTGCCAACCGTATGGTGCGTGCAAGTCATTGCCGACTGTAACTGTTGTTACAGCTCTAGGAATAGAAGGGAGATGCTTGGATCAGTGGACGCCAGGTGAGATGTGTCGATCAACGGCGTGAACAAAATCTGGATGCGGCGTGATTCCACAGAGCTTCCGTTTCAGGGTGTTCGAGCGCGTACCAGCATCGCAGCAGTATGGTAGCTGCGGAGGGTGGTGTCTGGCAGCTACCGGGGTACCATTATCGCCGTTCTTTGGCGAGCTTCGAACGATCCTTGAAAGGCAGCCATACATAAGATCTCGAAGTACGTGTGAAAGATCGCTGGAAAGACGCCGATATCAGCAGTATCAGTGGGCTTGTAGACGATGTTCCGTCTCTCGTGTAACGGAGCAAGCTCGGCCGAGGGAGGCGCGGCGCACGACCGTTGAGCGTATGGAAACCCCGGCCATTATCTTTGAGGGGTAGCATCGCTTGTAGTTTGCAGCGCCCACGTCCCCCACGCCTGGTGTGATTGACATACACCTCCGTAGGAAGTTTATTGTGTGGATGAATGTGTGACGAGAATCAGCACTTCGCAATTTACATCTACCGTAGGTTGACGGCATTCCTATACCTAGAACGCACTAGTGAGTGTGGAGAAGGTAGGAGTAGTATTCAGCAGTGGTAACACGGTGTTCGCTGTCAGTAATCGAGCAAGTACACTGTTCGGAACACCAGACCACCACAAAGCTACAGTCAGCTGGGTTGAATTCCCATGCCCCCTTGAGCATGGTACTCGCTAAGGCTTCGCATTGTGGTTCTTTCCTCCGGTGTGAAATGAGTTCAGATGCTGTTGTTGTTGCAACATAAGAAACAATATCAAACTCTGTTCCGACCTCAACTACAGCACAACGCTTCTTCTTTCCTCTTCGTGAAATTTTTCGCCTTCAGAAGATACAAGTCTACAACAGTCTACAGTCTACAGTAGTGCATGTAGTGTCGGCCACCCATTGGCGAAACACTCAAGTTCCATCGTACACGACAGGCGGTCCAGAGCGGTCCAGAGTATCTTACGTGCGTTTTGTGCGGTATCGCTCTTCACGCGGAAACGCTCTTGCCCTCTTAAAGAGCCTGCTTCTTGTGCCTTCGACCTCGTCCTACTGTAGCCGGAATGACGACAACGCCGGGATGCGTACATGGTCATCGAGTCGGTTCGATTTTTCCGTCATTGCCCGATGCAAATGTTCATGTTGCTGTCTCTCCCTCTCTTTTGCCTTCTTCGGATCTACAACCCAGCCAAGGCAGGGTAGCTCAGTGGATATTTTCGATTTTGGTGCTTGCCCCTCGTGCCCTGTACTCTTTGCATCCGCGTCGATAAAAACAGGAGAGGGGAGCTCTCGGCCGTCGTTCGGATACGGAGCCCGGCGAACTCTTCCGAAGTGAGTGAGACATCAAGAACTGTCAATGACTACACAATCCAAGCATCTGACGCCGCCCTTCATCGGGCAGTATCCGACGAAATAGGAAGATGTATACAGCCTCCCTCTGTTTGGTCTCCTGCAGACCGGGCAATATACTTACAGATAATCCGTGTTTTCCCCCCCTCTGCCCATGAACATGCTCCGACCGACGTAGACGACCGAGCCGCCAGACCTTTGTGTGCAAAGGGACGGGCCGCGACATGTGAGCATCGAGGCGCCCCAATGCCGCACAACTCCAAGGCAGAAGGAGTCCTTCGAAGTGACGCGAGTCTTGCCGTTGAACGCCACGCCCGAGGAGATATTTGCAGGTGCGACTGAGTGCCTGAGGGGGACGCTGGTCGGCACACCCTTGTTTTGTTGGTTGTGGTAGGATCGCTGTGCACGCGCGCGAACGTGGAAGACGCGTTAAGGCTGGTCCGCAAGCTGCAACCGTAGAGCGGGCACGAGCAAGAAGATGACGCAGAGGAAAACCGATGCCAGGTCTAGACTGAGTCCCACATGTCTTCGGCAATCTTCGACAGAGACGTATTTTGCTGTTGTCGTGTAGAATGTGCGGGGTTAACCACCGAGAGATTCTCTAGAATTGTAGTGGCCCTCAGGCTCGGATGTCCGTCCCCTGCTCCTCCCCACCGAGGTTAGATTTGGAGTTCCGATGTCACTCGCCCCTAATCCCTTCACGCTCACATCCAAAACAAATCTCAAACAAAAACGAGGTGTCGGCGGTCCCGTTGTGGATTGGCTGTGGGACGGCTTCAATGCCGTGGTGTTGTCCTACGGGCAGGCCCGTTCGGGCAAGACATCACTCCTGGTTGGAAAAGGCGCGCCGTTAACAGAAACGCCTGGAGAGAGCAGTCAACGAGCACAATGTTTCCTGAACGGGAACTCAGAGCCAGTCGGGATCGGGAGTGGAAGGCTAGGGAAAGGACGACGGAGAGGCGACAAGGAAGGCTTACTGAAAGACATCTTGAGAGATATCTTCGACAAGGCAGCCGCCGCAGGGCCCGCTGATGCAGCCGACCCCGTCCTCGTCGCCTGTCAAGAGAAACAACTATCTCCCACCACTGGGGAACCACCCTATGAAATTTGTAACCCTTTGGCGGGATCATGGTCACCATCTCGGCACGCGAACGACAGCCCGGGATTCGATGTCTGCCCAGGCGGTATCGGCACTCTGCTTGGCACCCAAGAACTTACCCCCCGCGGTGGTGGGACAGCAACAGTGCAAACTAAAGTATCTGGAATAGATTCTCAGCGTTGGGAAGGGAGGAGGGACAGTGCTAAACCGGTGGCGACGGCAGACCGGATATACGGCAGCGAGATCATGAATGAGACGGGGAAACAAACAACACGTCCCAGTTTAACCGGCGAGAGCGGGCGTATAGCTGTTGTGGCGCTAAGCGCCTGGGAGGTGGCGGGGAAGCACGTGACGGATCTGTTCGTAGATCCATCACCAGACAGCGGCAGCACCGGCGGTAGTAATGACGGGAGGAAGGACAGCATGGGGAACAGTAGCAGCAGTATCGAAGTAAATGACAAGGGCACGAGGGGCGTGGGGGGGCGTAGTCGGAGCCGAAACAGGAGCAACAGGAATCGAGCGGCCGGGTCGGGCTGTTCTCGAGAAGGTGGAAACCGGGGCGGCGGCAGACGGAACAGCAGGGGCCGTTCCGGAAGCGATGACTCTTCTTCCACGGGGGCGGGGTGGCCAACTGGCTACCCCGAGGGCTTTCTTTCCGTGCGGGCGCCGAATCTCAGCACCGCGTTGGAGCTCGTGGACGCTGCCCAGAGCCGATGTAGCGCCTGCCGAAGGCAGAGGGCCATCGCGACGAGCGAAGCTGCGAAGGGGAGCAGGGGGAAAGGAGGCGGCGGGGGGAAGGCGGGAGGCGCTGCTGTAGCAGAGTCTGCGGCTGCTGCCGCAAACAGCAGTCACGTTTTCTTTCGGGTCGTGGTCTACAATACTCTAGAAGAGACCGCGAGCACGCTACACATGGTTGATCTCGCGGGAGGCTGGGAGGTGAGCACTCGAGAATACCAGGTCGACGGGTAGCGGGTAATTTGGTGGGAGTTTCGACAATTTTTGTCAAGGTTTCGAAGCTTCGATGGCCTCATGTCGGACGACGCTGACGAATGCTTCCCCCCCGCCTTTTTTGTGTCTTCGAATGGTTTGTTTCTCGATGTCTGACACCGGCCAACGCGCCTCCTGCTGCCATCCGTGGCCCGGTGCTCTTTCGGCCAGCCTCCCAGTGAGAAGCCTACAGGCAGGCGCGGAAGCAAATGTTCGGGGATGGGGACGGTTAGACCCAGCGCCGTTTCTCGGGAATGGAACAGCTTTGATGCGATGATGGTTGGGTTGGTTCCACCGCCCCCGCCTCCACCTCCAGCGACCGCCGTGCCGCACAACAGAGTAAACGGCAGCGACTGCAACTGCGGACACATAGAGAAAGGGGGCATTGCGTGCGATGCTGACAGGGCTACGGCAGTAAAAGCAGCGGCAGCGGCGTCGGGGTCGCGGCCTGCACCCCCACCGACGGCACATCCTGTGTTTGGGTCCCCAAAAGGAAAGACGTTCGGCGGTGGGGGCGGAGGCAAGCTGGTAGAGACCCTCCGACCGCTGATTTCGGGGAACACGCGTACGTGGCTGGTCGTGTCGGTCGGTGGGGATGGCAAGGGTGGGGGAGGGGCGGCATGGCGGGCCCTGGATGTCGCTCGGCGGGCTACGGGTATCTCAACAACGTGCATCCGTCTTAGGTGAGGTTTTGTGCGTACACAACGTGCGCGGGTCGAGCGTGTGTTGGTCCGGCCGAGAAAGCATGACGAGCCTGGTGGTTCGCATGATGGCCATTGCTCAATGCCTGCACTTTTTCCCGCCTGTTGGTACCCTTTGTTGAATATCTTGGGCCGATTCTCCAAGCTCAATTACTATGAGTCAATAGCGGCACCGAAATGGCGACGTTGGAACCGTTGGTTCCCTTCAGTTGGCCTGATACCGGTCATTTTCTTCGCTGCATTCCTGCCTTCCCTTTGTGCTAGAAGTGATGGTTCGGTCACCTCTTCGTGCTTAGACAAGGAATTGAACACATGTGGACGGCGGGTGTGACCGCGGCATAGCACAGACTTAACACGGTGGTGCGGTTCAGTGCGTGCAAAATGGAAGCCAAAGCGGTATCCACGGAGCTCGTCCAACACAAGTGCTATAATGCGTACCGTACAGAAGGATATCGGGAAATGTCTGGTCTCCAGCAGAATATTAGTAGAGTAGGCGTAGTTGCTAAGGGTGCCACTTCTTTGTCTTGGAGGTTATGACATCCACCCTCATGCTTCGTTTTGCCTCCCTTGCCTGCTTGGGTGGTATCGTCGAAAACTGTCGCCTTGTTGCGGGCAGAGGAGTAGCCCTCACCGACCTTCGCTTGCGGAGCTCGAGCGAGGTCCTCCCTGTGGCCGACGGTTGTGGCACTTCCAACCCCGAAGACGACTTCAGTGCCTCTATCAATGGCGCGAGCAACCGGCGGAGAGTTCGGACCCGCGCTTCTACATCCGCTACCTCTGTTGATATAGGTACTGCCCTAACCGTAGGTTCACCACTGAACGAGCCGAGTCGTGTTGAGCAAAGCCTGCTGTCGACAGCGGGGGGCGGTCAAAATTCTACCACGTTTGGCTCTCCCGAGCCGGAACAGGTCCTGCATGCACCCATATCGCTGGGACCTTCGTTGTCTGGCTTGTCGGAAGGCGAACGATCGTTGTTTTCCTTTAGAGAAAGAACAGGAGACGGAGGAGAAGAACGTGCGGGGTCCAGTAGCGTGGACGAGTTTCTAGCGGGGTTTGTGCGAGGAGGTGGTGACGATGACGATCGACCGCGACCAATGTCTTCAGGCGGAGTGGTTCAGGCCGACGTTACGCTGGAGAACGAGCCAGAACAGGCCACGCCTGCTGGGCAACTCATCGCCGCCGCCTTAGGGGGGCGGGGAGACGAAAATAGGAGCGGCGTTGAGAAGGGAAAACCTTCCAGGAACTCAAAACCAACAGCCTTTGCAGCGTCTGTAGTTCAGGGTAGCCTAAGCTTCGGCGAGCAGCGGCAGCATTATCAGCATGCACCACAACTCCAGGGTTCGCGTTTGAGACCCGGTGGCCGGGCGGCGACCGTCGGCCCGAAGCCGTCGGCGGATACGCCATCAACGACGTCGTTTGCGTACAACGGTGGCGGATCTCCTCGAGGGTTCGAAAACGACGGCGGAGAGGAGGACGACGACGACCCGCCAACAACGCTGAGGGAGTCAAGACTCAGAAGTGAGGCCTTCAGTAGAAAAGTCGCCGCCGGTGAGCCGGGGGTTGAAAATGCCGAAGCGGAGTCTCCGGCGGAGTCTAGGGCAAGAGAGAACATCGATCTCATGATGTCGTCGCTTCTGGAAGAGGTGCTCCCGGATAGACGCAGAGCAAGTTCTACCGCCGGACCGGCAGTGGCTTCATTGAGTAGTGAAGGCGGTGGAGGGCATCATGCTGCTTCCCCTGCAGGAGTCAGCAGGGATCGTACAGCGGCAGCGTTCGCAACTGCCGATGCTGTCGCACGTCAGTCTTCATCATCTCGCTCGCCTCTGCCTCGTGGGCCCACTTCTCCATCGGTGGCGAGGCGCTCGGATGATGACCATTCGGCCCCGGCAATGCAAAACACGCCCGATCATGCAACCTTCTTGACGCCGATAGAAGTTCTCATGCGTACCCCAGCAGGCGGGGGGTCCATAGGCTGTAAGTCGACGAGGGAAGAGAAGCGGGAAGAGAAGCAGGGGCACTGTCGACAGTGTACCGCATCGGATGACGCAACGCCGACAAGCCGTGCCGAAACAAGTCGCAGGGCGAACGAAGAGTCGTTGCACCCGTCTGGGTGGGTGCATGGCCAGGCGCCGAACGTAAGAGCAGTGGGAACAAGTGGACAATCGGCAGATGAACGCACGTCAATACCGACTCCTTTGGCGGGCGACTTTGTCGGCAGAGACACGGGCGGCACTAACGTGAGGCATCGATCTCGGGCTGCGAGCAGCGGCACCGGGGACGCTCTCTCCCGTCTGTCGCGAGGCAGCAGTAGCGGCAGCAGCAGCGGCGGAGGAGGCACGCGACGTTCAAGTCGAGGCTTGTCGACTGGGGGGGCTCGGCAGACGACGGACCAAAACCCTGATGAACGGGACGGTGGAGAATGCATGAATGTTGAAGTGGGTTCGGCACGGGCGGAAAAGAATGGCGCTCACGCTTTGGAGGACGAGTTGGATGGTATGGAGGATGAGGGAGGGGCACTGTTGGGCCGGCATCATGCTGCATTGTTGCGTGTGGTTCGCGAGCAGGAGGATCGCGGAAAGCAGGTACGCTGTGAAATCTTCATGGACTATGCGTAGAGGACGCTGGCGCGAGCGTTGGACTGATGCTGAAAGGAGTCACCTGGTGCGCACACGAGAATATGTTTGTTGATGGTGTTTGGAACCACAGTAGTGCGCGTGTAAACGCCAATGCTCTCATGATTGATGTACCACGTGCAAAAAGCAGAGCATTCAAAAAATGGTACGAATACCAGGTAGGTGCAACAGGCACCTTTGTTCACCAAAGAAAAATAATCTTCGATTGGGCTGCTCGTCCACAGATGATACGCCGCTTCGAGGCGAAGGAATGCGACTGGCTTGAACGGGTGACAACTCTAGAGGCCGACCTACAAGGTTTGCGGGCGGAGGCGGTCGAGACAAGGGGTCGACTGCGAAGAGCGGAGGAATCATCACCATCAGCCGAAGTGTTCAAACGGTGAGCTCTGCTATTCTGCTAGGTCGGCGTGTCATTCTCTTCCCCCTGCGCTGGCATAGACCGCCTGCCTACCTTCTATCTTAAGGTTCGAGGCGCTCTCCAATCTCAAGACCACTGACATTTTCGCGAACAGTTCTGCACCTGTGAAAGTGTTGCTGTGGCCCAGGAGCTTCACACCGATGTCCGTGCCTTGTACGACTAGGTAAAACACCCCGTCAGTGCTACACGCAATGTCTTGTGCGTTGCATATTGTTGGCCGTACCTCTTGCCAACGTTGTACGACTTCTGTCGTCAAACCCTTGGAATCGCACGCTTGTAACGGCGTCGTGCTGACAGTACTCTGTGTGCGTCCTCACGCTACCTAGGTACGAGGCCCACGTCGGAATTCTCGAGGCGGAGAACACCTCCCTCCGAGACCGGAACATCTCGCTCGAGCTGAGACTGCTGGATATCCTCCGACAATCGACGGCGGCTGCTTCGTCGAGGGGGGGAACGACCTTAGAAACCGAAACCAACTCCCATCTTTCCCCGTCAGGGTGCCACCAACACCAACATCATGCCGCGCTATTCTCGACGAGGGCGACCACTGCCGGCGAGAAGGAGGGGAACAAGGACAGTGAAATTTGTCCCAAACAGCACAAATACGGCACTGGTGCGCTTCAGCAATCAGATGCATCAGCAACAGCCTGCGTCGATGGCGGTACTACATCTAGGTTCAGGGTGGATGGGAGCGTACCAGTGTCCGGGAGCGTGGGAGAGGCGGGAAAGCCATGGGCAAGCGGGGGGGCGCCGATGTGCGCTGCGGTGCTGAAAGACTTGCGACGGCGGTTGAAGGAAGCGGAGCTGGAGGCGAAGGAAATGAGGGCGGAAAGGGCGGCGGTGGACAAGCGCGATCGACTCGTGAGTCCGGGATCGATGTCACTCCTGTTTATTGTGCTCCTAATTTGTTGTGCGGCTGGGCATTTACTTGTTCTGGAGGTGACGGTGAAAATGGGGGTGGCGGGCAGGCACCACTTTAGTCTTGCTATTGTGGTTGTTGCTGACTTTGTTGCTGCTGCTGTTGTTGTTGCTGTTATTCTTGTTGTTGTTGTTGCTGTCATGGACAGCTACGGTTGTGTTGTGTGCTGCTTCCCGCCACGACGGGACGTGTGCATCAAGTCCTTCTGGGGCTCGATACGCACGACCATGGTAAAGGAACGAAGCCATGCCTGACGGGTTTGTCCGGGGACAGCTGGTGTCGAAAGCAGGTTCTAGTCAACGGCTATAAGATTGGACACGCGTTGCATTTTATCCATCGATGAAGAAAGTGCCGCATGCTATTTTCCCCCAACCAATGGTCAGTGTCAAGCTCAGCTCCGGACGTTGAAGGAGCAGAGATCGAAGCTGAGAGAGTTCATGCTCAGGGAGAGGGAGCTCGAGGCCAAGCTAACCGCAAGCCGCCTCGAGTCGGCGCGGGCGGAGGTGGCCGCTGAGGACAAGGCGGCGGAGGTTGAACACCTGCTCGATAACCAGGTGCTGCGCGCTGAACGTGTATTCAATCTGCCGATACCATGGTTGTTGGTCTTGTTATCGTTGTTGTTCATGATGCTGGCTGGTCCTGCGTCTTCTGCAGCTGGTTGTTACGATGCGTGAAAAATATCCCACAGGTGGTCAATGACCGGGCACAAACCCACCCGATGGACAACTGACGTGGTACCAAGATGGGGGGCGTGTTGTCTGAACACATCGAACTCATTGATTCTCGGACGCGGTTACATCACTATTAGATGTCGCAACGAGCAGAATAGGCTTCGGTTTCCTTTACGGAGAAAGCAACAGCGGTTTTTGTGGCGGCCAGGTTTCGAGAAGTCGTCCCGGGACATCCACACGTTGGTCTTGTCACCAAGAATATATACATTTTTTTATTTTTTTGTATAAATATAAAATATTATCAAGTTGGAAATCACGATGCATTGGATGTCCTGATTGATTGAGGCTGTTTGTCGAGTATATCGATGGGTAACTAACGAAAAGCTATTCCAGAGCTTGTTATATCATCACATACCGTCTGCGTGCTCACGGGCTTTCCGCTAAAGAACAAGACTACAGAACGGGCCCGCAATTAAGAAAAATTCTGTTGGGAAAAGAAGGTTCAACTTTTCACGAAAAGTAAGAAAACAGGGCTACGGAACTCAGCTCAACCTCGGCTACAACAACATAAGAAACGTCCCAAAAACAAACATGATCGTGCGATACCCCCCATACATAAGAAACAAGGAGTTGCTGGGGGAGAGCGTCCAATAAGAAACATTTTTTTCGCGGCGCCCCCCGCGCCCCAGCGCCGCCGCGGGCTGCGCTATTCCCACCAGCCACAGCTGCTGTACTGGTGTAATGTGCTCTTCGCCAGAAACAAGAAAATAAGAAAATATGATGATCAGCAGGATGCGACACGTCAAGGGAATAAGAAATCCAGAAATTGGGCCGACTTTGGCTGGTGCTTCTGTCAAGAATAAGAAATTCAGGCTCGACCCGATTGTGGCATTTCTTATCTCCGGGCTCGTCCTGTAGCCTTTCGTGCCAGCAGAGCAGAAGTATCGAGTGGGGATCTTCTGAAGCACCATTTTCCGCCTCTAATCCCGTGTTGTGGTCCCCCCGCCGTCTCTGCCCGCCCCGTTCCCCTGTGCCCCTTCAAATTTCTCATTTGTCAGGCCGCGTTGGTGGCGGAAAGAGAAGACCTGGTTCTCGCGCTTGCAGGTGAACAGAAGTAATGACCGAATTGAACAGCAGGTAGTCGAGACGTAAATGCTCAGGTGTAGGACCAGGGGAGCTCAATCCACAGGGGTACCAACGACAATTGTAGTTGTGTCCCGATTTGACCAGTGTCGCTGTTTCCGGACTCAAACGTGTTTCACTTTCGTCACAGAGGAGAGGAAAAAGAGCCGCCAGTTCGACGAAGATCGCGTAGCGTACGGACACATTCGGCGTTTCATCGAGCGGCACGCCGGCGGCCGGCCTGCGGAGTGGGACAAAGAGGAATCAGTGGTCGGACACGATCAGGTTAAGGATGTGGGTGCTCGAAGACCCGCCGATAATTTGGAAAGCGTGGGGAAAGAACGAAAATATCCTTCTCTTCATCGTCAGCAAGTCGTTGGGATGGGTAATACCCCTGGTGGTGCTCCGAGAGGGCATCGTGAGGCGGGGGAAAGGGTGAAGGAGTCGGCAATGCGGACCTTAGATGAGAGGATGGCGACAAGGAGAAGCAGTGGTGGCCGTGCTGTCAATGGTGTCGAGGAGGGCGGTGGTTGTGGTGGTTCGTTTGAAACCCTCCGACCACGAAAGAGCGCGAGCACGATTGATGCCACACCGTCTGGTAGTTGCCAGGGCGTCGCCACAGATGGCAGCCGGCACTTGTACTCCGATGTTTACAGGCACAAGTTGAGTGCTCGCGTTGGGGCAAATTGTCGAAACGATGACGACGCCCGTTCCAGCTACGGCACTGGTGCTGCCCGCTTTCGTGAAGACAGCAGCAACTACAGCCATAGTCACTACGCGTTGAAGTTCACCGGTGGAAGCGAACGGATAGGGAAGGTCGACCCTCTTGTGCAGAGAACCCCGCTGAAAGGCTCGCTGAAGGCGGAGTGCAGCCGCAAGGCCGATGGCGGATATTCCTCGCACGGGAAAACGGCGACGCCCGACGACGATTGGCCAAGTGGTGGCGGAGGAGAACACGGTCCTGGCGTTCACGATAACGAGAATGCCGAGTACTACGATAGTAGTTTCGCCACGGCAAAAGCGGTGGAGGGCTAGGGAGTGTCAGAAACGAACAACACAGTCGTACAGACAACAATAATGGGATGGTCGATGAGCGATGCTGTCTACCATGCCTGCCTTCGATGATTGTGTGCTCGGGATCAAGCAGGACGATCATTCGCTTGTTGCGGAAGGGGGCCGGCGAAGAGACATCAACGCGACGGCGTGGCGGCAGCTGGTGTACGGCGAGAATAGCATGGAGTAGTGAAAACACGGTTCTCGTGGACCCGTCCCCGCAGGACCTTTATCGAGGAAGACAGCGGATTCTCAACAAGAGAGCTGAAAGAGAGGCTGCGCCCTGCCTAGGGATGAAGAGTATATCAGGCTTGAAAAACCGTCTCCTGTAGGTCAAATCGTATAAATGAATGTTTCAAGGAAACGAAGACGGTGTCTTTCCAACGGACGAAGTGTACAGGTGGGCGCTTACGCGACAGTGCCAATCAAGGACTGTGCAATTTCCTTGCGCTCAGGTAAGCATGGTCTAGCTCACCAGCAGGTGGATAAATGCTTGAGAGAAGACATGTGTCATGATGGAGAGGATCCCGCTGTACTTATTGACACGGGATACCATCGGACCTCCATGACCACCGTCGCGGACGAAAATGTTATTTTTCACGCGTTGGGATACTTGAAGGGGGATGCATGCGAAAGGGACTGGGGCTGTGGAGCCACCCGTCGTGTGAGGCGACTGCAATTCGCACGTATTGCACAAGCCAAGCAGGAATTACCGCTTTGCAATCATGGAAAAAAATGGACACCTCGCTACGATGAGGTCGGAGAACGGCTCCTTTCGTCATAGGATTCACAACATGCAGGACCAGACCTGTCAGCCTTGTTTGCCCTTCCCGCGGGAAAAGACGAACAATGTTGATACTGTCGGGCTGGATGCTGTCGCTCAATCCCAGTGCGTTTACAGCAGAACGGCACACCAGTAGACGTTCCCATTACGGGCATGACCGCAAAAAAATGGACCCACTGTCGCACGGTCCGTACATTCAAGCGCGAGGCGCATGCGCAAGGAGTTGAAGAACAAAGCCGGATTTCGAACAGGTTTCTTTGGCATAACCGTGAGTCTTACTATTCATCGACTCGCGCACTTTTAGATGTTGTCTTCACCGGACCCAAATCACGTGTGGTGCTCGGTTTTTGTCGCACCAACTATCGTTTACCGCCATGACACAGCGACGATATGAACAGAGGCTGAAACCCGTAGAAGGGATGCACTATTTGCACAAGGAAAGCAGTGCGACGGTGCAAAACACGGTTTTCTCCTCCTCTCACCACCCCCTCCAACTCTGACAAGCAAAACCCAACCTCCGCCGACACGCGTTCCTCGGCGCGTGCTAGGACGGATGATTGCAATTTCACCGAATCGGCAGATACTGCATGTCAACGCCACGAACAAGCCTTTGTGCCATTATCGATGTTGCTCATGACAGGCACCAGAACGAGCGGCTTCCAACGTTGCTCCTAATCCAAAGCCATCATAAGATGTGCCTGTTTCTCCTCCCACAAATCCCCCCTTTCGCCCAACGTCGATCCCCGAACATCACGGCGTGTCAGCAACACCGTCGCCGGCCGACGCAATCTCCTCCTCTCTTCTCCTCGAGCGAAAAAATCCACGCAAGGGTAACGCGCACTCCTCCGCGAGCACGCCCCCCTTGACTTCGAGCTCATGAAAGGCGTGTCTTTGAGAGGACAGGTCCACCCAGCCGCCACAAGCCCCGAGATTAGGGTTCGGGGCTCCGAACACCACCCTATCCACCCGGAAAAGCTGAGACGGCAACGCGAAAAATGGGAGCCGGGCGCACTGGTTGGAGAGACACAAATGACAAAAATCAACCAGATGCGGTTTTGTCAGACTAAGCACGTTCCTGAGAAGAACAGTATCAGGTGACGAGCCTGGTGGGGCGTTCGGGAGCCGAAACTCACAAGCCGTCTACGTACTCGGAGATGGTAAGGTCAAGATTATATCTGGTGGATCGGGGGCTTGCAATTGCAGAAACCCGAGGACAGGTCGTCAATCGCGCCGTCATCGCTCGTTCACACTCCATGTTGACAAAATCACGAGAGCATGCGTCCTTGACCGAGACAATCTCCTATACGTTGATACTACTGCGACGGTGGTCGGAGCACTTCAATAAACAGGACTTATTTGCGGTGCTGGCTCCGACCTGTGCGGCTGAAAGACACATGGCACACGGCTCCACCGTGACGTAGAGCGTGGTCCCGGCAAGCCTCCAGTTGCCCCGTGCTTTCGCCGCTGCCTTGCGGGTTGGGGTTGTTGGCCATGTAGAGTGTACGCATGAAAAAACGGAAGGTACGGCATGCGTTAGTAAAATATCGGACGCACCCAGAACGGGTGCGAGTTGATTCCTTTCGTGGTAAATCCCTTCTAGGTTGGGGTGTCACCGACCAAGGAGCCTCGGCAGCAAGTTGGAAGTTTGCTCCAAGTGATGCTCAACAAGGCACTCAAAGAGCGAGCAGTTAGGTTGGACAGCAGCACACTCCATGTCAGCCCTGTTCGGCTCCTATTGCCAATCCGACCAATGCGTTTCGGTCCTCAACCACATAGATCCACCTGGAGACACAGCATTTCGGCGTGCGCCGAGGCGTCACGGCGCCCCTCCACTTCGTTTCTGCCGGTCGACAGCACTCGTCGCCTTCCATCTCTCCTTGTAGTCGCGGTCTCCGCCAAAATAGCTCCGATCTGGACAAATACCCAGTGCGACAGAAGGAAGTGCACAAGCAGATGGTTGAAGGGGGTAGAGTTAGGCATCGATGAAGGAATAATCACTTGGACCAGAGTAACAATGCTTCGTATTGGGCTTGTAGGAAGCACACGTGGCCTTCCTGTCAACTTCCTAACGGCCACGCGATTGGGATGCATGGGAGCAACAAATACACGATCAAAGGCCAGCTCGACGATAAAAAGAGGATACCGAAACGCCAACCGATCGTGCCACAAATGCATGCAGCAGGTCACTCGCAACGAAATGAAAAAAAACAACGAGTATGGCTTGCAGCTGTGCGGAACCAACGAAGCGATACAACGAAGGGGGGTACTCACCGGCACTTCACCCTCCATGCGGGCTCGTCCTGCCAACCGTAAAGCCATACGCATAAATCGGTCATCATCTTCCTCAGAATACTTCGGGACTTCTGAGGCGAAATTTTCTTGAACGGCGTTCGTATGTCGTCCTTGAAGAAGGGTTTCCGCCTGCTCAGCCATCAGCTGTGAGGCTTCCAACCCCCCTGTCGCCGACGGCCTCGTCCCGGTGCTGGTACTGCTGCGTTCTTCAGAGAACGAACCAGAACCTGAGCATGACACATCCTTCCCACCAGAACGGTAGAGGTCGGCGTCCACGTCGTCTCTAGTGGCAATCTCGTCAGTAGACACGACACCATCCACCTGCAGCAGTTGCTGCTGCCGCTTTCGCCTTTCCCTGTTGGCAACGTTCGCCTCGTTATCTACAATGCTAGGTGCCACCGCTGCTCCGACGCCGGTGCTCGGCCGAATTGCAGCCTCAAGGCCCAAGCTCTCAGCCTCAACGATATTAGCCTCCATCGCCACCAAAGCCTCCGCGGCTCCTACCTCTATGTTTCCTAAGGTCTGCAGGCGCAACCGCTGTCGCCGCCGCTGCCGCTTTCTTCGGCATCGGTTACTTCCGCCTTGTGTCTGGTGGGCAAAACCTGCGGTGTCTCCGCCCCGATGATTCATCGTTTCTCCACTTCTACCATTTCGCAAAGCCCCAACGCTTGCCACTGCTGTTACCGGCTCCTGTTCTTCACGATCGACGAAATCGGCGGTACTCGATTGGCTTCGCTGGGGCGGGAGCGGCCAGTCGTGGACAGTGCTACCGCTGCGCAATCGACATCTCCGCCGGCGAGAGGTGGTGGGATGGTCCTTAGCACTGTGGCACCCGGAGTCACGATGTGGAGACAGACTTCCCGGCAGGGCTCTTGACCGGCGGTGCGCGCGTATCTGCCTCGAGACTGGTGGACCTGTGAAAGGGTATCAGGTGTTGGGTGAACGAGGTCCAATGTTGTTTCCGGTTTAGTTAGGGATAAATAAGGCTCACGAAGGATACTCTCTCGGTAGCACTGGTGTGACCTAGACACTCTCCCCGCAAATAGCACACCGGATGATGATGTTATTAAACGCCAAAAGTGGTATCGCTGGGTGCACTGTCTTGTTTACTACGTGGTACCACTGAGCGAACACTCCGTCGCTGACTTGCTAAATAGCTCAGTCGACATGGTGCACAGGTGCGACCGTGTGTCCTTCATGCATCGATCTCAAGTCCGACGGAAGGGGGAGGTGCAGGCAACTCTTCGCGACTCGTGTAGCTCTGTATATTCATCACCGATGATGACAGATATCGCCGCTCCCCTGTTGCCATCGAAGCACATGGCCAAGGTGCAAGCTGCAAATATGCATGCAATCTATGCGTGCCTGACGGGCAAACTGTAGAACAACCAGGTCGATCGGGTTTCACCCATGGTCAACGCATACCATAGGCGACAGGCGACACAAGATACCACACCCCCTGGACCATTACTCAAAGCTCGACTACTCCGCGACGAACAGAACACCAAAATAACTTGGTAATCTTTCGGAAAGGTCCCGATGGGGCCGTTCCAACGCCGCCATTTTCGGCACTGCCACTCTCCACGGTGGTGTAATCGATCTCTCTAAATTCGGTCGGGGGGTGTGGTATCTTGTGTCACTTCGGAAGTCTATGACTCATTGAACGTGGCCGCGAACATGTCACATTCTAGCAAAGAGGGAGCACAGGAAGATGAAACATTGCCGGCAGACAGGCATAGAGTAAACATGGTTCTACAGCCCCCGCTATACGAGGGAAATTCGCATTGGTACGCCCTACAGGACCGGTATAACACATGCCCGGTATCACTGCTGACTGTACACCACTGCCGGTACCCTGCTGCTGTGCATGCCCACTTGCCTCGCAGCCTTTGGAGGCAGGCACCGTTCCGCCAAGCCACCACATCTCGCAACACAGCGATTAACACAATAAGTGTTATACATCTGGCCGATAATGCTGCTCCAGCAGCAGCATTCAGCCCTCTGCTTGTCATGTTGAGCGAGAGATCAGACAGAGCTTTGAGGTCGGACACCACACAGCGGCGGAATACATAGGGGGCACGCAGAGGAAATTCAGGCTTGCGGTATGCAGCGGTGAAGGGGATTTTTTTTTTATTTGGTTCTCGCGCGCGATTGAGAGACTGCAAGCCAGCAGGCAGAGCACGGAGCAACTCTCGGAAAGACCCGGGCTTTTGCACGGGAGGTTATTCGTGCTGGCATACGTTCTGGCACCAAGAGTAGCTCTGCTGCCGTGGTCCCGGCGGGGAACGAAAGCAGGGAAAGCGAGACAGAGAGGCGAAGACGCAAACCGTATCTTGTTTCGTCCCAAAAACAGCGGTTACTTTTCCCGAGAGTCCAGCGTGATCAGAGAGAGCCACCACAGCCTTCACCGAGGCCGCCTGCAGTAACGCGATGCAGCGCTACCTGGAGACGACGAGCTCCGGGAGCACCCACGTAGATAGTCATGCGACGGATGGCGAGGAAGAAGATGCGGGCTTCCCTGACTGGATCGCGTTCGGTGTAGTGCCGGTTGCTATGGCTCTCGGCATCATCACCAGGACCACCCTCGCCAAGTGGCTACCGTGAGTGCCTGACGTAGTCTGTGCTCACTTCGTAGAGCTGTGCTGAACACCAATGGTATTAGAAATGGTAGGGAAGGGTTTGATAGGCTTGGGGCTACTGCTCTTTGCATTCTTTCGAGAGGCACGGGCAAGGCTTGATGAGAATTACTTTTTCGACCAACGCAAAACACACGGCGTGCGGCATGACCTTCATCTTCCAATTGCACTTGAAGGGGTCCTTCGTTGCGTCTTTTCTCATTTATGTGGTCTAGAAGTGTTTTTTTTTTTTTTCACTTCAAACTAGCGCTTGTTGTTGTTGTTGTTAGTGTTGTCTTCACATGAAAAACCGTTCCGATCTCTCTCTATCCAGTACCTTCATATGTCCGTACTTGACGCGGTCGATTCCCGTGGTCACAGTCTAACTTACCCTTAACAGGTACACTCAAATGATCTGGCCCCGAGGGGTCCGCAAGTCGATAAAAATCTGATAAAACTCTTCTAATCTCAGATGAAATGACGTCACCTGACCAGGTGAAAACTTCTTCAAAACCAATTCATCAATCTCACATTCATTTCAAATCTCACATCAAATGACTTCATTTGACCAGGTGAAAATAAACACGTCGATGGCCTCTATAAGAGAGAAAAAGAGACTAAAAAGAAGATCACATAAAAAGTAAACAGAAAGGAAAGAGAAAAGAAAACGAAAAATAGCGAAGACAAAAAGGGTCCAGGCCGAAAATAGGAAGAAATCAGCGACAGAAAAAGGCACACGGTGAAGAGACCACTAACGAACGAGCAAACACGCAGGCAAGGCCACCAACCAGCGATACCTTGTAATGGTACGTCATTACTAGTGGGGGGTTGGTGCAATGGTGCAGCGTTGGGGGGGGGGG